TGCAATCCTGTACGTTAATTAAATAAAATTATTTATGATAATTAATAATAATACTAAGTGCACAACCTTGAATATTTCTTTGCAAACTGAGCTTTTAAGCAGTTTACATAGAAAACAATGTTACATAGTAAAGACCTTTTTTTACGAACGAAATAAGATAACCTGGTAACAATAATTACACCTATACTGCATTTCTTTTTAACATTTGTTTCTTGTTGTAAAAACACTGTAACAAATGAGACATGACGATTGTAGAACAAAATAAATAAATCGATTTCAAATTAACGTAAAAGATGCAATTTCATTTTAGAAATGACATAAATGTTAGTAGGTTCAGTATGTGTGTACTATACAGGGTATTCTAAACATATGGAATACGGTCTATCATTTAGAAAAAAAAGTTCAGTTAAAAAAACGAATGGTTATCGTCTTTTCGTAAAATAATTTAAAGCAATTTTAAATGAAAGCACATATATTAAGATCTACTAAATTAACTTAAGTTTGAGGGATCCAATTCTTCAAAATTATATTGTTGCTCATCTACAATCGTCATACAATTAAAAAAATATCGAATTCTTCTTTTGGAATGTATAGAAATTTACAAACAATTTGTGCTATCTTATTTTTTAAATAATACGTATTTAAAACAAGGTAAATAGATCACAGAAGAAATACAGTATTTCTATAACATATAAAAAAATTATAATAATAATCAAAAATTTGATTAGTCTCCTATTAATTAGAAATAAGTAATCAAGTGCAACATTATCACAAGTATAAATTTCCAATAATAATAAAATTTTATTATTAGATCAAAAATACGTACACACACTCGAGTATCAAGCCTGTCATTATGAAGAATGTACAAGTTACATGTAAGAGGTACATTTACACACACACATACGTAAAAATCGCTGCTGCTATTGGACGTTATCATAATATTATTATGTTCAAAAATTATTTTAAGAAAATATAAGAAATAAAAAATTGATAAGCAGGATGCCACACTAACGTATTGTCGAGGATGAACCAATGTTTTCGTTTGTTGGTTTGGGTTGAACATTATTTTTATCCGTTTAACACTTTAATCTCATTCATACAGAATTTCGATATTACATTTATCGTAGTTTTGGTTAATAAACAGTCACACGCACCCTGCAGACTTAAATTTTAAAGAAACAATATGGAGATCAAAAAAGCGGCATGTATTCTATAGTTATTATTATACAAAACAGACAATTTGTACATATTTACCGTATACCTAGAATGTCTTATTTTTAATAAATCTATTTGCAAATTGTTTTGCGACCCAGCCTGTCATATTATTTTTTTTTTTGGAAAATACGTTTTTTGAACTGCTTCTCTTTTCTCATTAACCAGGTCTCTTCTATGAATAATTATTAAGTATATTTTTATTAATAATTCCACATCCGAACGCGAATTTGGTTATTTATTTATTATCCTTCA